GTTTCACTCCATTAAATGTCACCCTTAAGGGGCGGTTCTTGTCTCATATTTACCTATCCTCCTAAAATCACTGACATGTTTCTTTGAATTTAGGCCTTCTAGTCCTACTATTTTCTCTGACTTTCATCTCTTCTTCTGCTCTGTTCACCCTAGATGAAGTTTCCTTCACAAAACATCCAAAAATTATTATGGGCTTACTTTTATGGATGTATATATAGTGTAATAACATCAAAAGGAGTGTTGGGAGAAGCCATTTTGATGAGGGAGGTTGTCAGAGACTGCATTTCTGAGCTAGCTTACACACAGTTGATAGGAGAAAATCAATATTTTGGCCTTAGTAATTTTCAGGGAGTGTACAGCTGTGTACAAAATGATGTCTCCCTTAGTATAGGAGCCCCTAGGCTATTCCCACGTTCAGGAAGCATTCTGTTCTCTAGCGCTGTCTTAGGTAGATGTGGACCCTCTGTTCCGGCCAGAGCAGGGGATTATTCCTGTCTACATCAAAGTTCAGCCAGCTGAAGTGTATCTCTCTGTCCCCAACATTATTGTCACAGAATCCGGTAATTGAAGGGTGCTGGTAGACGTCACATAACGAAGATACACGATAGAAGTCTTAGCCGTCACACATGATACCCCCCCACAGGTGCAACCAGACTGTGTCCAGTAATCGGAGTTCATCGGCTTTATCTCGAGTGACCCATCACCATATCTTTGAGTAAACTGTGCAAATGGGATCTAGCAATGCGATTCTAAGTGTTTGAGTGAAGATTGTGTAGTGATACTCACATTATCGAGGATTGTGGACTCGGTTTAATTTTCATCCACTCTGTGTTCACGCCGTGCACCTATCACATGGTGCCCGGAGATATTTCAGCCAGCCTTCAGCCAGCCTTCAGCAAAATCACACTAGTGTGTATATCCGGTGTATTGTTATAAGCACACTCCTGAGTTCATCAGTACAGGAGCCAGGCGATTCTCGACTTAGTGTCTTGTGGCTACACCACCTTAGCCACACACACTGCCTGAGGCAGAGCCCCAGCCGCCTTGCACAGCCGTGCCTCACCCCCATCTTGCTCACCTCACTCCGCAGTCTCCTTTGTCTTCAATCAACAGCAGGGGTCATAGCGAGTGTGAATGTTTATCGAGTGTGTGGGATATGCCGGTATAATCAAAGTGAGTACTCAAACCATTATTTCTTTATATCGTTCGTCAAGTGCCAAATTCCTCGTGATGACCCAGTCAGCCAATTGGTGTTCGTTCTTCAAAATGCCTCTATGGGAAGGAGTTCGATTCCCCAAGAAAGCACAATAGGTATAGGCCTATTCCAGTTAGTCTGCGTGATTACTTTGTAACCAGACCCTAAGTGTGTGTCATCTTACACTATATTAATTACACTTTTAGCAACTGTGTAATTACCTAAGTATAATTACCTAAGTCTAGTTATGGGATCTTCTTGAGAGGTTATCTTGGGATGATTTCCGGGCTTAGTGTCCCCGCGGCCCGGTCTTAATGTGGTCCTCAGGTGACAGTTTTCTTTCTAGAACCACCCCTAGATCCCTTTCTTTGTCAGAATTCTTTAAAAATTTCTCACATCATTTTTAGGTTGTGTGGAGTCTATGTTCTCCTGTTAGTGTGTGTTGTAGATTGTGTTTTTATTGTGTTTAGTGTTTCAATATTATACCATTACTGTGTGTTTAACTATGTTCATGCCATTCTTTCTTTACTTCCAGGGGAAATGCAGTACTGTATTTAAAAGGTAAGTGTGTTATTGTATTATTATTATTGCATTATTTTTATTGACAGTTGTGTCAGTGTGTTGTGTGTTGTTCAGTGCTATGGTTAAGTACCATATGTGTACTGTATTGTGTTGGTCTATGTGACCCGGTGTTGTTCAACTTAGTGTTCATTATTTTGAGAAGTTAGCGTTTTGATTTAACGTAATTATCATTTTGTTTAATACGAGGTGATTAGCAATCGTGTTGACTAATCAGTGTTTGTCAAGCGGTCTCGGTGAGCGCCGAACGTTAACGTAATTCTCCGAGTTAAACTGATCTGTCAAGTCTGACAGGACCTTGAGTGGTTACTCAGGAATTGCTAATAACTCGGAAGCTCTTGTTTGACTTCATTGACTTGTTTGACTGTGTTGACAGAGTGGTATTAACATAGTTTACCTTGTTTTTTCTTGAATGTCCTGGAGATAGCTTAACGTAATTGGAGTTAGATAGATCAAGTATCATCGGTCTGTCATTGTGTATTAACGTAATTAATTGAGTGTTGCACTGGTCTCGGTGACAAGTCTATCTTGCTATTCTATTGTGTCATTGTTATCGTTTGCCGCAGTCGTGACGACCTGCAATTTTGCGTCTGAAGTGGCTGCCACTTTGTTAAGTGTAGTTAATGTTAGCACCACGAGCGGTCTGAACCGGAAGCGCGTTCTTCCTGGTTGACTACCTTTGACAAGCGCCATGACGGACATTAACGTAATGTTAAACTATTCTTGCCATGTATCACTAGTACTAAGTTTTATGAATAAATTGTTATTTGTGCTTTTATGTTCACACCTTCTCAGACCCTTATACCTTATACAGACTCTGCCATTGCCCTTAAAAGTGACACTTCATGTTGCTCTGGATACTTGGACTTTAACTAATTTCATGGCGAATATAAATATATAAACTAAATATATAAATATTTGGTGTGAGACACCTACAAGCTACTTGGACAACTACCATCAGTAGTTATGGAAGCTCCACGACCCAGTGGATCGGGAGTGCCAAGGATTTGGACTCCTGCAGTTTCTTTATGCATTCGTGTGCAGTCTTAACGTAATCAGCTTTCATTACAGCATTTGTTTTGTTGCTGGTGCAGTCCTTTCTGACCAAGGTCACTTGTATTGATATAGTTATCTTATTCACTATAGGGGATAACCATCACATCTGGTGCCCGACGTGGTGCTGGGAAATCATAATTGATAGAACCACGAAGTGCACATTTGGTCAATTAATTCTTATAATCTATTCACTCATAGGGGAAAATCTCACAGAGGTGGCATCATCTGCATGACTTGTCATGCTATGTAAGAGTAGCCACTATGCTCTTTGGGCACTATACCAGCTTACTTGAACAGTTGTGGTGAACAAAACATGTAGATACTTATATATAACATCTGTATCTTGAGGTTATCTTTAAATGATTTCGGGGCTTTTAGTGTCCCCGCGGCCCAGTCCTTGACCAGGCCTCCAACCCCAGGAAGCAGCCCGTGACAGCTGACTAACACCCAGGTACCTATTTTACTGCTAGGTAACAGGGGCATAGGGTGAAAGAAACTCTGCCCATTGTTTCTCGCCGGCGCCTGGGATCGAACCCAGGCCCACAGGATCACAAGTACCGCGTGCTGTCCGCTCGGCCGACCCCGTATATAGTGAATAAAAGCAAAAACAGTATGGTGGGAGGAGGATGTTGGCAAGTGACGTGCTTTTGAGGGAGGGAGTGGTGGCAAGTGGCTGGCTGGCTGGTGTGGCAGCCACTCCTCGTTGCTTTTTGACTCACCATATCAACTTAGTGGTTCGTTATGGTCAACAAAAGATGCAGATACTTGTATATAACTTGTGTATATAGTGTAATAACTGCAAAAGTATTTATTTATTGTTTTATGAACATAATTGAATCACTAATATGCACATCATATTTTTGAGTATAGCGATGATTCGCACATTATATTAATATATTACACTACACAGTATTGAATAATATTATTGCAAAAAAACTAAGAAAATCAATCAGACACACTGAAATAAGTAGGTAATATCATCATTGTGGTAACTCCCACCTGACAGCTGGGATGGGGGAGCAGACTTCCTCTGGTGCTTGCTGTTTACACATTTTTGCCAGACTTCCCCGCGCTATTGCGGTCAAAATATCCCACCTACGATTTTTTTTATTATTTGTCCCGTGATTAGGGAATGCAAATGAACACTTTTATAAGACAATTTTTTTTTTTTTGTGCCTGAGGGTGTTGATGGCCAAATAGCCCAGAGCAGCTTAGGGGTTAAGAACAGATATCTTTAATGCAAATGAGTTGAAAGAGGATGGCAAACAAGAATGACCAAGATATTTAGGATCAATGTACAAGTATATTGTATGTACTGGATGTGAAGCATACCTCAGAGAAATTAAACTAAAGCAAAGAAAAACTGGAAAACAGTTCAAATTCATAACTTTATTCATAAAAATTTGTTTAAACAAATTTTTTACTTTATTTGCAAAATTCAAGTACACTATATATTCACACAAGGAAACAATAATGGTGCTAATAATGATCGCTATAAATACAGTATACTGTACAGAACATATACAAAAATAGTAATGCCCCTGATAATGACACCATGTACTGTGAAAGGTAAATGAGATGGGGTAGACTTGCGTTATAATGAAATTAGAGTATGAAGGGAGAAAAATAGGCTGTTAAATGTTATACAAAAATATAGAATTATTCTGGTGTATATGCTTTGAAATTGTGTGTAGAATGTAAAATGGAAATTGACACCAATGTGAATCTATACCCCTGTAAACAAGGGAGGTAACGAGACAAACAAATTGAATGATACATTAAATGACTGCATTAAATGATAGTGAACGACATGATCACAGCATATTGTGTTATGTACAAGCCTTGAAATTGAATGAAAAAAATAAGAAAGGTATACCTAGTAAGTGATCAAGGAAAAATAAACAAGATTTATAGAAATTTGAATTTTGTGTCATCTTTGTTTCTTACATTAAGAAGCAAACTTAAATGTGACTAAATGTACCTGTTCCAAACATAATATATTGGGAATGAAGCAAGGTTGAAAAGAAGAAAAAACGAAACATTAACCCGAACATTAAATATTTCTTAAAATATATCACAGCCTACACTTCGTAATGTAAACAACAACTTTATAATTTATGGCAAATCATTAACTGGAAGGTTAACTTCAAAATCAGATATTTATATTCACCTGAGAAACATTGGAATTAGACCTTTTGTGTGCTTGGCTAGTATTTACATGCACAATAAAGTTTTCTGCTAGCTCTTCAACTGCATCCTCAAACTCATTCTCCTCCTCATCCTCACTGTGACTGTGCCCTGAAACAGAACATAGAGATATAAGAACGAGAGTAATGTACTAAAACAGAGGACATTATATCAAGAGCATAATGAAGGTACAGCACTTGGAATATTTATTGTAGCAAATAAACATTACTTCCACATTTACAAAAATAAATTTGCATTGTTTCATAAATTCCTTGAAGAACCTAGTAATTTGCATGCTGAAACAGTCCACAACATTATGCGAAGTTAGAAATTCTCAGCTTATAACAAGTCGGTAAACAACACACAGTTTGGCTTAATAAGGGAAACATTCAACTTAAAACTTGTAAAAAAATTATAAATTAACAAAAATTCTTCCTAATTTCACTGATAACCTGCTCATGAGGAATTTATCTTCAGTGTATCAGTGCTCAAAATTATGCATGATTCCCGTGCCCACTAAAACTGGAAGACACAAGAATAAAATATTATTCTATAGAAAGAAATCAATCAATGATTTGGAAGGGTAAAGAAAAAGCAACCTTAACAGGTAGGCATGTGCAAGAGATACAGAGTATCCAGTCTTGTTTGGATATTTTCAAGCAATTACCTTTAGGCAATTACAATATTTTATGTCCAGTCTTGTTTGGATATTTTTTCCTAAGTACCAGCTAAATTTCCAGGAGTTTTAACATGCACATCCTTCACCTCCTGAAGTTAAATTGAATCATCTACCACTCCTTTAGAAATTAAATATTTTATATTTTATTTTTTATTAATTTTTTTCTTTGGTACAGTGTTACCTCAAAATACGAGTATCCCTCTATACGAGTTCTTTGGAATACGAGCAGGATTTACTCGGAAAATTTACATCGGAATACGAGCGTTGCCTCGGAAGACAAGGGTGTCGATACGCGTACAGGCCGACCTAGCGTGTGGTGACACGGCAATCGCCCCTCAGTTTACCAGTGCCTCGCGCCCAGTGACTATCCAGCCTGAATTCTTCACGGGGATTTATAGTGTTTTGTTGGATTTTTGGTCATTTGACCATAAAAGTTGTTATTATATATCTCACCATGGGTCCCAAGAAAGCCAGTGGTAAGGATCAAGGCAAGGAAGCGCATGTGAGGATGACAATAGAGGAAAAACAAGAGATCATTCGGAAGCATGAAAATGGCACACGTGTTGTTGAACTTTGTAGGCAGTACAACAAAGCCATGTCAAAGATATGCACTATACTTGGCAAGAAAAAGGACATTATGAGTGCTAAAGCGGCAAAAGGCGTAAGAACAATCACGAAACAAAGACCACAAATACTTGAGGAAGTGGAAAAGTTGTTATTAATTTGGATACACAACAAGGAGTTAGTGGGTGATAGTGTTTCAGAGGCCATCATTTGTGTAAAAGCCAGGGTATTGCACGAAGACCTTGTAAAGAAAACCCCTGGAACGAGTGCAGATACGATAGACTTTAAGGCAAGCAGGGGATGGTTTGAAAAATTTAGAAAAAGAAGTGGTATTCATAGTGTTGCGAAGCATGGGGAGGCTGCCAGCTCAGACAAAACAGCGACTGAAAGATTTATTGAAGAATTTAAAGAGTTTGCAGAGGCTGAGGGATACCTACCTACTGCAACAAGTTTTTAATTGTGATGATACATGACTGTTCTGGAAAAGATTGCCTAAGAGGACATACATTACCAAGGAGGAAAAATCATTGTCCGGACACAAACCTATGAAAGATAGGTTTGCTCTTGTGCTGTGTTCAAATGTGAGTGGCGATTTGAAAATTAAACCCTTGCTTGTGTATCATTCTGAAAATCCAAGGGTTTTCAAACAGTATAAAGTGCAGAAAACCCAAATGTGTGTCATGTGGAGGGCTAATAAAAGGGCATGGGTGACTAGGATTTTTTTTTTGGAGTGGGTGAATGAAGTGGTGTGCCCTGCCATAGAAAAATATCTGCAGGAGAAACATTTGCCACTCAAAGCCCTGCTTCTCCTTGACAATGCTCCTGCTCATCCTCCAAGCTTGGAAGATGAATTGTTGCACAGATACAGTAATTTTCTTACAGTAAAGTTCCTTCCTCCTAACACCACTCCTCTAATTCAGCCTATGGACCAGAAAATCATAGCGAATTTTAAGAAACTTTATGAAAGGGCACTTTTCCGGAAATGTTTTGAAGTGACTGAAGCCACAAAACTCGCCCTCAAAGAGATCTGGAAAGACCATTTTAACATTTGTGGTGCTTTAAAACTCTTTGACAAAGCCTGGCAAGAAGTGACCCAAAGAACCCTGATCTCTAGCTGAAGAAAATTGTGGCCTGAATGTGTGACAGAACTAGACTTTGAGGGGTTTGAGCCTGTAAATTAAGTGCCTATTGTCGAGGAAATTGTTACTCTGGGCTGGCAAAAGGGCTTGGAATTGGATGGTGGTGATGTGGAGGAGTTGGTGGAAGAACAACGAAGAACTGACCACCGAAGAACTCCAAGCCCTTCAAAAAGAACAGCAAGAAGACACAGCTGAGGATGTTTCTCCAGTGGAGGAGGACGAGGCAACAGAGAATGTCCCTTCCGCAACCATTAAGAAGTGGTATCAGATGTGGGAAGAAATGCAAACTTAAACGACTCACCCAGAGAAAGCTGTAATAGGCCGTTGCATTAATCTGTTCAATGATAATGTGATGCCTCACTACAGAAACATCTTGCGAAGAAGGAAAAAACAATCATCAATGGACCGCTTTGATGTGAGAAATTCGAACAGTGAGCCAGAACCAGGACCTAGTGGCATGCAGGCAAAACGTGCCAGAGTGCGCATCCTAGAGAGGTCCTCACTGACTGATGTTATAATGGAAGGGGACTCCCCTTCCAAACAATAACACCTCTCCTCCTTCCCCCCTCCTTACCATCTTCCATATGCCAACAGTAGTCATCAGCAAGGGTAAGTAATAACTTGAACATAGTTTTGTAGGTTTATTTGGATAAATCAGGTATAGAATTTAGCTTGAAGTGAGGTTTTTGGGTAGTTGGGAATGGATTAATTCATTTCCCATTATTTCTTATGGGGAAATTAGTTTCGGATTACAAGTTTTCGGAATAAGAGCTGTCTCCAGGAACGGATTAAACTCTTAAACCAAGGTACCCCCTGTATAAAACTTCCATATTTTAAAATTTTGTGTGTCTGCTCTCAAAAACGGTTTCCTCTTTGTTGACTATCTTTTAAAATAATTTTGCGTGGTTATCATAGTTCCTCTTTCCATTTTTTAATTTGCATATACACATACAGGTACTGTACTATAGTGGTACTGTACTATCGTAATCTGTTCCTAGAGACGTGTTTTCAACCAAAAAAATCGTCAATCAAAACGAATTTTCCCACAAGAAATAATGTAAATTGTATTAGCACTTTCGTTCCCCGTGGACGTTGGTGTCCACCAGGGACAGGGGAGGGAACGTCCAAAATTTAAATATTTGTTAAAACTATTTGTTTTCCGATCATTATGGGACTTTTTATAATGCACACATTTAGATTGCGAACCATTTGAAGCCAGAATGATCGACGTAGCATGAAAACTGAACAAATTGGTATCAAAATGAACGATGTAACACGAAAATTGACGGGTAACGCTCACGGGTAATACTTGGCCGATTTTCGGGTTTGCTGCAGGTAGCACATCCGGCTTTGTGATCTTGTATGCATATATCCCTGTAGAGAATTTTATTGCAAACATTTTGATACCAAAATGAATGATGTAACATAATAATTTACGCGAGAAAACACATTTTAGTGCAGGTGTTGTGGGTGTGTGGATGGGTGCTTGCTCCCGGGTAACGCTTAGCTGATTTTCAGGTTTGCTGCAGGTGGCATGCCAGGATTGTTGATCCTATATGCATATATCCCTATAGAGAAATGTATTGCGAACAATTTGATACCAAAATGAACAACATAACACGAGAAATGAGGTCGCTCATATGGGTTGCTCCTTTGACCCATTCGTGTACAGACGTCGTCTTCCAAATAAACCGTAGTGTACAAATTAAAATTTTACGATGAATTTGACGTGTTCCAAAAAATTTGTCTTCTAGGGCAGTCGTCAACTGAGGTTCCACTGTATATCCAAAACCTTAAATCTTTTTTTCATAACATGTATTTCTTAATTCTGGAATCTATTCTATTGCATGTCTTATGACTAATTGGGTTATATTGTACCCATTGTGTTTCTTTAGCCAATGACACCATACCACAGCTGCATATACTGGAAAATCACTGAAGGGCTAGGAAGCCCATTAGGTGTATTGAGGTTTCCTTCACTTGGGGTGAAGCTATCTGTTGTCACTCATTCAGTTAATGGCCAGGTCCAACATGTGCATAGTGTCCACAATGCTAGTTTAGTTTTTAAATATACTTACATGAAGAAATATTAAAGAAATTTATGTAAGTACAAGTGAAGAAATATTGGGTATTGCATTAGGAACACTGCAATACCCTAATAATATTTGCTAAAATTCTGAGGGACCACTAACTTTAGTGTTTACATAATGTTCCAGTTAAAACGTATTAAGTAACAAACCAAGGTCTATAATTCCCAAGAGGCCCATTCCAACTTCCCCTTCATTTCTGTTACATGACACTTTGTTTCTTATTATTAGGGACATGAAGTCTGTCAGGTTTCCCACTCAACCCCAAAAGTCACCTATCTCCCAGGTACTGCTAAGTGAACTAAGGTCTCATGTGTTAGGTTTCATGCTCAAATACCTGCCCTTCTTAAGTTTCATTATGTTATTTTCAAATTTGTGCAAACACATTTAATGCTTGTAAACATGTTGATATAAATAATTTTACACATTGACGATTCAGGCACAATACCAGGAATAATACACAATATAAATTAGGTGCAAAATTGTGCAATACCAATGTTCCCCTCTTATTTCTGATAAGAAATAGAAAAATAAATTTTGTATGCACATATGCAATGACTATTGATGTGCATGTAACATGTGAGAATAGTGTATGCATAGGATCATTCCTTGTGTTTGTGTCACTGCAATGCCTATGTTCAT